CCTTGTTATTGATTGTTATTGTTATCAACTGCTTGCGCAAAATGCCCAGTAGTACAGATACTGCCGATGAAGTTGTAAACTCCTGTAGTCCACCTAGGAAACGCTCTAAAAAAAGACACCTGAGTGCAGAAATGAAAGAGGTCATTTTGAATATATATAAGATCGAGCGCGAGGAGAACGAGGCATCAACCATCAAAGAAATTGTTGTGAAGGTTTCTCACAAAGTTGGGGTGTGTCGCGCATCAGTGTTTAATGTGTTAAGACAATACAAAAAAATCACACCTTTTCTGAGCCAATGACCAGTAAACATCGCAAAAGTATTGTTAAATCATTGGATGAAGCTGATAAGCATGCGATTAGGAGGAAAGTGCATGAATTCTTCTTTAGGAATGAAATACCTACTATAGATAAAGTACTGCAGGAGGTAAATGGAGATACAACGTTGCCAAATTTCAAACGATCAACTTTCCATGCGTTACTGAAGCATTTAAATTTCAAATGGAAAAAACGGGGTCGTAATAGTTTACTACTGCATAGAGAAGAAATTGTCCTATGGAGGAGGGATTATTTAACAAAAATTGGGAAATATAGAAATCAAAACAGGAAGATTTATTACCTTGATGAAACGTGGGTAAACGCAGGACACACTACAAGTAAAGTATGGGTTGATGATTCTGTAACTTCATCCAGGAGGGCCTTTCTAGATGGACTGTCCACCGGATTAAAAAATCCAGCAGGTGAATACGAGTAATAGACAACAATCGGATGTTTTTCAAACCTTGGGAACAAGGTTCTAAACATTAATTCCAGGGGGCAGATAAAACATATTACAAGTAACAAAACTTTTATAACTTTCGATAAAATGCGTGGATGTTTTATTGTCATTTTCATTTGTTAGAACATTTTTAAGCCATGTTTTTATGTGTTTTCGATATTTCAATAATTTTTTAATATAATCTTAAAATATGTCGAATATTATAAACTTAAAAAAAGTTACTAAGTTTTATATTGTGTACCGTTCCTAATATTTCTAATCGTTTTAATTCATACTTTAAGCTTTATAAAGTTATAATTTGTTAATATTAATATTTGCGCGTATTTCAGGTTCCTGATCATTCATTTTTTAAAGGTTTATAACTTTAAATTAAATTGTGAAGCGCTGAGTAATCATACGACGTTCAATATTCTTTCTTTCAATATGACTAAATAATCCCAATTATAGCAATCTGATACTCATGTCTCAATGTTTTTTCGCTGAATGTGATGAAAACATTT